GCGAGTTGCGCCAAAAGTTATGCTCAGGATTGGAGGTTAATTGGGGGAAAATCAACGTCTGTAACGTGGCAGTACCGTCGGGGGGAGTCGAACCCCCGGCTGCCCCCCTATAAGCATGTCTATGAAATGACTGGCCGTGTTCGGAAGACGACCTCTGTAGCCACGGCGGTTTGTTTCACTTATTTCCTGGCCTGGGTTACAGCAGAGAAACAAATTTATCGACCTGTACGTCTATGATCGGAGAAAAATATAGCGAGGTGAATGGACATTTACTATTACAACTCCCAAGCCCACGCGTCCGGAGAGACAATACCGCTGCGCAATCCCAGGCTCCCAACGCTCCAACTCCAAGCAGGAGTTGTCTCTGTTGGCAGACGCGCTCGACCACGGGCGAACTGCACACTCATCCGGTGCATCCGCCACCGATTTTTGACGACACGGTCTCCCTTGCGGAGGAAGTTGAGCATGTATCCGCGCCAGTCCAGCGCCTGCTCCAAGCGCAAATCAAGCTCCGGTCCCGAACGCTCCCGCCGTTCTTTCCAATCGCCGGGCGTGCTTGGCAGCATCCATCTATACTGCGATGCGAGGAGGAGGAACAGGCCCTGCCGGTCTCGGATGATCGCGTCGTGGAAGAAGCGGTTGACCTGACACAGCGCCAGGAGCGCCTTTGTGGCTGAGACGAGAGAAGGGGGATCAAATTCAGCGCCGTCTTCCATTAGCTCGGTGGCCGCATCGCAAGGGAAAACCTCCACGATGGCCGAGAGCACAAGGTCGAGAAGTTCGGGGACGCTGAAGATTTTCATGCAGTCGGCGGACGAAGTTGGCTCTGGAATTGCTGCAGGTGGCGAGACAGCTTTGAGAGCGACAGGAAGAGGAAGACAAGTCAGACGTGTCAGGATCCAAGCTGTGTCGTCCATAGAATCTGGGTCGTCCCAGCGGTCGACACAGTCTGGTTCGTCCTCCCGAGGGGTTTGCCGAGCGATGGCATACCCAAACTCCTGGCCGTTGCGTCCATCCACATCGTAGTATTTCAAGCAGTAAAGTAGCCCTTGAACCTGTTCTCCATATCGCAGATAGTCTGCTCCAGGTTGATACAACGACTCCCAGAGATCGCGCGGAGTTATGGCAACGCGGCGACAAAGAAAAGACAAGCATCCCCGATGGATGCGGAGATATTTTTGAGAACCATCTTGCCAGTCGCTGCTTCCATCTATGAAGATTTCACCGTAGTCCCCTTGTTCGCTGAGACGAACTGTCAGCACGAATTGCAACAATTTCCCGGCCACTTCACGTACCAAGGAGGAGAGACCCAACCGTCTTTCCACTTCGGACCAACACAGATCCAGTCATTCCAGAAGGCTCCATCCTCTGGGGTAATGCACACGATATCTTCCTTCGATTTCGAAGGAATCGGAAAGCCCGGCGGATTCCGCCATTCCCCGTCTTTCGGTGGCCACGGAGCGTCCCGTGCCACAACAAGGTAGCTTAGCCATGCTGAGCGCGCATCACAAAGTGGACCGGCACTTCGAAAAGTTCGTTTGAGCTCGGTCAAACCAGGACGCGTGGCACTCCCACCAGAACGAGCAATAAAGCTCGAAAACACCCATCTTGTCGGCGATAAGTACGTTGAAAGGGCTGGGTTAGGGCTGGCTGTAGAATTTCTGTATGGCTTGTTCGGTATGGGGAGCGCGAGAGCGGTGGGTGGTGGTGGTCTTGGTGCGAGGCTGTGTGTGACCGTCACATCGTTCCGTGACGCTCTTCACTTGCTCTTGACCATCATCTCGCTCGGAGACTCGGACGACGATTGACGCCCTGGATCTTGTCGTCTGTCTAAGTGCTAGAGAATCTAGCTCAGTCCTTCCGCATGTGGAATGATCTATCCGGATGGGCGGTCGCAGTGCCAAGTGGACCCAACGAACGGCGGAACTGTGCCTTCAATTTGCCACCACCGTTCAATCCCCCAATCATCGTTTCATCAACGCGTTCTGAGACGTCTCAGCCCATGCTGGCCTACAGTCAACCTACGGTTGTTGTCTTCTGGACAGCCGTCTACATCGGATCTGGACAGCACTGAACAATCCCCTTTGCCATTGCGCGGGATGACATCATGACTCTGTGATCAGTGCTGACTCGACGACGACAGCGAACAAGGATAAGAAGTTGCTAGTACTGGCCCCGTCTGTTTCACGCTGGAAGTACCGGAACTGTTATCTCAACCAGCTCCAGCGCCGCCTGCATCTTATCCCCAAGGCGCCTTTCAAGATTGAAGCGTCAGACGCTCGCAGCCCATCCATCAGTGCTTCGGCGACTAGATGTCCCGCCTCCGACAAAACCCTGACGGTCATAGATTCATACCTACTTCGAGTGGTCATCATGATAGTGTAACATCATGGCGAACGAGACATGTGTCCAGATTGCTTCTTCGTTTGCTTATCCCCATCTCTGACTCGACATCCATGCCAGACTACCAAGGCTCAACGGTGACGAAGTGGTTCATTCTTCACAGAACTGTCGCCAGGAGCTACTGCCTCGCCGGCCTTCTTTTTGCTTTCACAGTCCTGGGCCCCATTCTCCTACAGCGCTTCTCCAAGACGAGCGCCGTAGCTAGGTTCGCTCAAGCAGGCGCACGCGGCTGCACAGCGCTCACACTCGCCCTCGTGCTTCTCATGCTCCACGAGCTCATAAACGACATTGACCAATGGCTCAGCATGCCTACCGCCGAGCGCAGCACACTCGAAAACTCCGTGTTTGCGAGGCCCATCTATCCCCGTCCCACTACCTCGGAAACCCCGCTCGGCATGCTTACGCCGCCTACATTCCTCGGGAAGCTCTTTTGCCTCCCTTGCCTCACCTTCTTCGTCGTGCATCAGTGGCTCGTGACGGACACCGTACTCTTTGTGCGCATCGACGCTGCAGTCCTGAACATTCTGCGGGGGACAGAAATTTTTTCCGCGGTGTTCCTGCTCCTGCTCATTCTCGCGTGGCCAAGAGAGGGTCGTATAGGGTCGATGGGCGCGGTCGGAGTGCCGAGTGCGCATAAGGCGGGGAAAGCGGGCCTGGCTTTTTCGCAATCGCGCATCGCCAAGGACGTGGAGACAACCTCAGCCGCGTAGAGTCCGTGGTGCGGCTGGAGATCATTCTGGATGACTCGATGTATGCATAATTTTCTGTCGTGTTCTGATCACGTTGGTAGAAATGAACCAAGAACTATAGAGGGGCGAAGAAATGTCTTGTCCGAAGCTCCAACAAACTGATTACACCAGCCAAGAATTTCATCCACAGTGTCAAAAAAATGCTGCGTAATTTCTCCGATTGCCTCCAGAGGGAATTGTGTTGCTGTTCTGACTCCGTACAGTTGAACAGTAGCTCAAAACAAAAAGAGGTGGTCGATTTTTATCGGTGGTCGGAGGACGTGCCTCCGTGCAAATACGTGAGATGTCGAAAATTAGGAGGCGGCCAACGCTCTTGAATAATATGCCGTTGAGAAGATTCGAACCTCCCCCTTCCTCCTTGTGTAAAGAACGCGAAGCCACAATGCGTAGTGTTGGGAGGTCAGCCTCCGGATCCAGGCCGACAACAGCTTATTTTATTTACTGGAGCATGAAATATACAGCCTTGAATTTCCGCCCGGAGTTTCCAGAACGCCGTTTATGTAACCGAACGAATGCGCCATTCAACTGGGACATATTCAGATTTCTATCTTGTGATATTTGATTTCTTGCCCTTGTGGATCCCGTGGCGGGTCTGACTTCCCGACTGGTTCGAGGCTGGAAAAAAATCTGCGTTCGGGTCCTCCTGAATAACTTACATCATGAGTGCGGGAAAAAAAAAAGATTGTTCAAAAACCTGGGCTCTTTTTTCTCCATACAGTCGGGAGGATCCAAACCTCCATTCACCTCCATTCGCGTGTTTGATTGATCTCTGGGATTTCGCCGCTCCATAGCCCACGACGGCCTACTGGTACAACTGAAGAGTCAATTTATTGGCCACGCTTTAGGGGAGGGCGTTGTATCGATATTCAATTTGCGCAGTGTTTTGTTTTGAGAGCCTACGGAAGAGGAATATGTCTTGGAATGTGAATCTGACTGATAATGACGAGTCAGGGAGGTTACGAGGTAAAAGAATAAGCAGCTCGCCGATCGACAACACCGTCGGGAGGATTCGAACCCCCGTCTTACCTTGGTCTTACCCCTCTCAAATAACTAGTCGGAACAATCAATTTTGGGAGTTGGCTTTCCATAGCCTACGACGGCTTATTCACTGACTTCCGACCTGAATTATATACACCAGCATAACTAATGTGGTCACCGCTACGGGTCGTCAGTTTGAGGCTCCTTGAATTTTTGAGGTCGAGTGCGATACAGTCGTGGTGAACGTATGGAGTCTCGGACTCTCCTCATCACGTTAAGAAAAGAGGAAAAGAAATCGACACTCTCGTTCGGTCCATGCCATCGGAAGGAATCGAACCTCCGCTCTTACCCCACACATTTGGATGCTCCAACCGTATAATGTTCGGAGGCGGCCTCCACGGCCCACGACGGCTTATTTCGCTTGCTTACCACACCATCTCGTGCATTTAGGGCATTCCGTCTCGATGTTGCATTGTGTCCTGGAGCGAGAACGAATGGTCGAGGCTGTTGATAAGTATATGCACGCTCGATGAGGGAGGTTCTGCGTGAAATGGATTGCGAAATCAACCTCAAGAACGAAAAAAAGGCATGGGAAGTAGTATACTGTCGGGAGGATTCGAACCTCCATCTGACTCCTTGGCGGCGACAAGAAAAATCTTGGGAGGCGGGCCACTAGGCCCACGGTGGCCTATGTTACCTAGTGTCTCGCAGCCAGACACTCTTACCTCTTACCCTCGACTTGAACTAAACAGCCTGGAGAGTCGGTCATTAGAATGAACTGTAACAAAAAGATCCACTGGGCTGTTGATATCCACAAATGAGCAAGTAGAAAGATAAAAAGGCGAATTAAATTGGAATCGCAGTGCACAGTGCCATCGGGAGGAATCGAACCTCCGCTTCGCTCCTGATAAGGCGCCAAAGATATTTCCCTATGATGTCAGGGAGGCGGCCCCCATGGCCCACGACAGCTTATCGTACTTGCCTCGGTCCTGAGATGTACGGACGTCAAGTTTCGCTGGTCCTCTCGAGGGATGGTTGAAAATGATAGGTGCTGTATGATAAGCACACCAAGCAAGCTGGAGATGGAGCACAGAAGAGGGAATGTTGGAAAGAAAAGCGCTGCTGGATGCCACATGCCATCGGGAGGAATCGCACCCCCGCTTCCTCCTGACAAGGTACTTACCCAAGTCCGAAGATTCAAATCGTGGACGGTTCAGCTTGGATGAGGTTGAGAATACGGCGTGATGGCTAGAGAGCCTGAGAGAGCCTCAATGATAACGCACGAAAGAGATCGTGTTGTCGCCGAGGCTCCGACCGCGAACGGTGGGAATACTGAGTCGGACTTGCGTGGCACCCAACGTGACATTCGTGTGCCACACTGTGGAACCTAGAGTTGGTGAATTTCACGCAGATTTTCACGCTCTTATCGCCCAAAATTCACCCTGGAAAGGCAAGAATTTCACGGCGCAAAAGCGAATTTCACCCTGGAATGGGTGAAATGTTTCACGTACAAATTTTCCGATTTCACCCTACTGTTTCACGTACTTTTGCTAGCGAAATTCACCATGTTTCGGGGCGAATCTGAGCAAAAGGCAACCCTCGCGCCGCTCCCGACTGACAAGCTGAGGTGTTTCAATACCATTGCTGAGGGCATTAGAATTTGCTATGTAGCTTATATATGTCCACGAGACGATCGACGATGGAAGAAAAGTGAGTAAAGTGCTAATGTGTTACGATTCAAAAGAGGGGGTGCAAAACCAGTACTGATCATGAGTTATGTACCTTGCTCGGGCCACCGGTTAGTCTACGTGAAAATTCTAATTCACGTACTTTTAGGGTGAAACCAATTTTCACGTACTCTTCGTCTCCCCAGAGTGAATTCACTATGTTTTCACGCCATATTGTGAATTGTTTTTTTCGCGTCCTTTTGAAGTGAAATGCAAAATTCACGTCATTGTGGGGTGAATTTCGCTACATCCGTTTTTCACAGTGCCAGAAGTGGAACCGGGAGGGTCAAAAGAGAAAAAAAATGTCGTACTCAAGGCCGGATGCCATCGAGAGGAGTCGAACCTCCGATTTCCTCTTGGAGCCAATTAATTGTTTTTGGGAGGCGGCCGCCACGGCCTACGACGGCTTGTTGTACCTATCCGGCATGCCTGTTGAGGATAATACCTAATGAGCGCTCAATGACGAAGGATGAGATATTTCACTCGCCGTTGTCGCCGAAATGCCCGACAACATTGAGACGTAAGAGGAAAAAAGGTCGGCTAAGCGCGTAGTGCCATCGGGAGGAATCGAACCTCCGCTTTCCTCCTTACAAGCGAAATTATCCGTTCATCTTTGGGAGGCGCCCGCCATAGCCCACGACGGCTTCTTGTTCCTGGCTTAGATGCTGTTGAAGGTACGGCTTGATGAGCGCTCAATGATAGATGCGGGTGGGCAGATGGGAGATGGCGGGAAGTACGATTGAATTTTGGAAGCGAGCCGCGGGAGAACCAGATGTAGATTAAACATCTACGGATAGACGCCGCATTCAATTGGTGACGTTGAGTACCGTGGCGATCCGATTCGTGCAAGTTCAAAGGGGAGTTCCTGAGATTGAGAACACAACGAGTCCGTTAATTGCACGAAACCGGAAAACAACTACTGTAGATAGAGAAGGAAAGAGGGGTGAGATCTGGAAAAACACACAGACTATGTAAGCAAGGGACAGATCGGTTGGTATCAGGAGCGTACGATACCGAGTCAAGGATATCGCGACGTAGAGGGTGTAGATAAGCTCAGAGCGCCTCCGCCTCCACAAGAAGCGCCTTCTCGTCCTTCTCCTTCACCTCCACCGGCGCCTCGGCCACAACGGGCAACACCGGCGCCTCCTCAGCGGCGGGCGCAGCAGGCTTCTTGTACGTGACCCACGCGACGAACAGCGGCGCCAAGAACGCGGCAAACACGACCTCGAGGCCGCGCAGAACGTAGAGCGCCACGGCGAGGACGTTGTCGAGAGCGGGGCGGTCGAAGGAGACGAGCTCGTTGAGCATGACTTGGCGGGTGAAGAAGTAGGTGAAGGAGAGGAGGGAGAGGACTTTGCTGACGATGGTGGGCTTGGCTTTGTCGGCGGCAGCGGGGGTGGGAGCGGCAGTGGGAGTGGCGGGGGCGACCTCGGTGTCAGCCTCGGCTGTGCCGTCCTCGAGCGAGATGGGTCCGGTGGCGGGGCTAGCGCGGCGGGTGCACAGGCACACGAGGCCCTTGCGTGCGCTGTTACCGAGCGAGCCAAGGAGACCGACGGCCATGACGAAGCACAGCGCGCCGAAACCGCGCGAGATGGTGTCGGTGACCCAGACGAAGGCGGCAGCGACGGGGGCGGCCTGCGGGTAGTACGCCTCAATGAGGACGGGGGTAAGGAGAAGGAAGACTGCAATGAGGCATCCAGCTAGATAGGCCTTGACGTAGACTTTGGGGGTACACGCCATGATGAATAGTGCACTGGTAGGTGTAGTCTGGTGTAGTGAGTGGAAGGAGGATGAGTGTTGTGAGATATGTAAGAGACCGCGCGTCCCGGCATCATGATATGATCATGATGCGCACAGCTTCACCGACCGGTTACCGTTGTCTCGGTTGAGTGTGAGCGTTGTGTGAGCGTCTACTTTATTTTTGCAGGGACAAGGATATAATAGTGAGCAGAATTCGGTGAGCAAAGATGCAAGTAAATCTGACAGAGCGTCAGTCGAACTTGGTTCAACTTCGGTTGAACATTGCATGCCGACGCTTGCCGTTTTCGCCGCTACGCCGGCAATCACCTCGGACCCTACTGCCGACGGATCTTTCTCTTCAATCGAACTGCTAGTAATCCACCACGGTCATGACTGTGGGCGCAGAGTGCTTGAGCCCTCGTTCGGCGCAGTCTCGATGCTTGCAAGTACCACTCAAATAGGATCGGAATCGGTCAACATCCCTCTACCGCCTCCACTTCAACCTGAGGGTTCTACATCAATTTAAGGCTCGCAATCAAGTAAGGGTGTAGCAGAAATAAGCCGCCGTGGCCACGGAGACCGCCTCCCGAAAATCACTCTCTCTATGTAGCGCTCATCGAGCCGAGGTATACGGGGTTCCACCCTTCCCTGGGGCATAAGAAGACTCCTTCCAGTTTTTTTTCTGCCGTGTGACCCAAGGTCTGCCTCGTTTCCAACGCGGTGGGCCGGCAAGTGCAGGCAAGCACCTCTTTATTCTACCATTGTGCACCCGACCTCAAAGGGAGTGACTCATCCATCATAGGCCTAGCTATGCAGGTTGAAAGTCACGGACATAATCTGTTGTGGCAATGACGGCCGCCACCACCAAACATATGTCTGGACTCTGATAGCGACAACAACTCAAGATTCATGGCAGCGTATTCCGCTATTCCATTTGATTACCACTCAACTCGACTCGGCAACGCAATCCACCCCAGAGGTGCCGCAAGTCCAAGCGGTCCAAGCTGGGTAGAATATGCCGTCGTGGGCCTAGTGGCCGTCTCCACAATCCCGGATTGTTGCCGGACGAAGGGTGGAAAACGGGGGTTCGATTCCTCCCGATGGCATGAATTGACCTGACGCGCCATTGTTTTTTTCTTTTACCTCCACGATCGCTCATCTTCTGATCTGGCCTTGATCTGGCCGCCGTGTCAAGGGGTGAGCGCGGAGATTCTTGCTTTGAGTCCCTTTTAATGGGTGAGTACTTGTAGCAAAAGGTCAGCAAATCTTGTTCTCAGTATGCATAGAACGGAATCTTGTCCGTAATTCAAACCTGCGGGTATAAGTAATCAAGGCTCTCAGTCAGTGAAACACACCATCGTCAGCCGTGCAGGCAGGCAGCCTCACGAGAATAGCTGGCCCTGTGAGCAGGCAGAAGGTTCGAATCCTTACGATGGCATAGACACAAGCTGACAGGGCTTTTTTTTGTGTCTCCCTGACTCCAGGTCAGTGCTCATCCCTTGCAAGATGTGTTTATCCTAGTCTCCCTCATCAGACCAATATTAATAAACTTTTTTTTTTTTTTGAGGAGAGAGGCGAAACAAAGAAACCGGTTTGGGCATCAAGCATATCATGCTCGCCTGCAAGATCTCATGTCAACGTGGATCATTCCGAGAGCACTCAGCAGCACATAGTTCTGAATCAACATTGGTAAAAGTAACCGTCGTGGCTTTGGAGGCTGCCTACGAAAAATAGGCCTTCCATTCTAGAGTAATAATGAAGTGGAGGTTCGAATCCTCCCGACGGTATTACCTTGTAGCATGCCCATTTTTCTTTCGACATACACATTGGCTGTTACTAAATGAGAATAATTATCGGCAGTCAGAGCTCGAGGAAGATCCCTTCGAAGGACGGGGAATACAGTAGGTTCGGAATAATTATGAATTTCGCCCCTCCAGCCGCCAGATACGTTCCTCGATGAACCTGAAATGGAATTGTGTTCAACGCTATCGTTTGACATCGAGCCCACGACCGAATGCTGTGCAGTTGCGTGCTGCTTCTCCCAAAAGAAATGGATCTCTCTGTACCATCACCATGGGTAGATTGAAACCCGAAATCATCCCAAAATGCTGGCGTGCGAGCCAAGACCGCGGATTCACCTCCTCGGTTGGGATGATAGCCACTAAGTAACTAAGTTTACTGCCTTTTTTTGCCCCGGACTCTCACATGTGCAGACGCCCTTTTTGCAATCATGTGGTTGGTATCGATTCGCCGGTTGCTCTGACCTTTGCCTGGCCTATTTCTCCTCGACATTGAAGTACAGTGGGTGTCCAGCGGGGAAAGACAGAGGACGTCTGACGATGGCCTCAGATGTGTTCCAACTATTCCCTCAAGTGCATCTCATCAACGTCCAGATTTACGGATTCGAGCTGTTAACAGCCTGACAACACAGTGCTGCTATGCTTCGTGTTCCGCTCGAGGATAAACAGGCCGCCGACACCATTTCCAATTCTCTCCATGTTG